AGTGAGAGGCATTTGAGATGGTGCTGTGAAAGGAATCAGTGAGTAAGCAGGACTAGTTGAAACAATGCGCAGAGCTTGAACTGAGACAAGGAACTGATTCACTACTGCAGAAATGAAGGACAACAAAAGTTGTAAAAAATCAATTGCAGATTAAAGATTAGACAGACAGAATTGTTCTCACTGTCCTGACATTTGATTGAATAAGAAATAGGAATGGCAATCTGTTAATGTTGATAATTAGGTTGTGAGGCTGTGGCTGTGAAAACAAGTGTTACATTATATTAGCATTTCAAACATACCGCTCAGATCCCCTCTCGAAGCAAAAAGAATCATTTATTTGCGGGATAAAATTCAAAACATAGCTCCTGTGGTAAACTCCTCTCTCTCTCTCATTGTTTGTCATAGCAAGCAGCATCCACTCTGTTGTCCTCCACATTCAGCTCACCTTGGAAAGAGGCCATAATGCATACACTTCACAGAGGTGGCATTTTGTGCGCGCGTGCGTGTGTGTCAATGCCAATCATGAATTCACATGTGCCAGTTTTCTTGTGTGTGCAGGAGGTCATTTTAATGATTTACGCAACAACAGTTCGCTAGTCAGGGCGATCATGTGTTTTGCATTTGAGCGGGCATTTGACTATTATACACCAAAAATACTGTGAGTGTGTGTTTGTGCGTGCAAGTGTTGATTTATGGCATGCATTTCATGCAAACACATTGTGACGAGGCTCCCTTCAATCCCCTTCATCCTCCCCAACAGCCTTCATCTAGGGATGTCAAAATGGCAAAAAGAAGATTTAGTCATCTATTATTTTGGTTGTCGTGTCATCTAATTTTACTTGAGCTCAGTCAAGTGACCAATGTCTGTATGTCACCATCTAACGCTAAGTGACAACTGTCCTGCCCTGTTAGTACAAAATTAAATCCCCCTTTGCGAAAGAGGAAAATACACATCTTCTTTCAGTGCCACACACTTTTTGAATAATCAGGATTAAGAAAAGAGCTTTTTCTGGCTTCATCAGAATAGCTATATGTGTGTTTGTGATTCTGTATAGAAGGCATACCTGAGTAATTGTTTGATCCTGCTGCAAGATGTCTTGTTTTCTTGAGTCCAAATGTCAGGAGCTAGTTTTCCGCTTTCTGTTTTATGTCCTCACAGGTCCCCAAGGTTCGGAGTGACTTTGTCTTCATATTTAAAATCCCTTGGTGGCGGAATTCAAACTCAAAGGGGTCTGCAGGCAGTCAGTTCTGCCAAGCAGTGCTGCTTAATGAGCCCTCTTTTCTAATGCTCAGATTTTGAACTAATCTAGCCTTAATTGATCAGGAATAAAGCAAAGCTGTGTCCTCATTGTATCCCCTTCTCCTCTTGTTTTGGTCCTGCTGCTCCATGCTCACTACATAATCACAACGCAGCACTATGCTACAGTATGCTGCCCTCCAACACACTCTGTCCTACTATGCCTTGCCTTTTTTACCTCTTCCTCTCTCTGTCTCTCTCTCACACACACACCCTCTCCCTCTTATTTCTGCCACTATCCTCCTTCCCAGCATTCATGTATCCTGATCTACAGCTGGGTGGAGAAAGAAAAAGAGAGCAAGGGAGATACAGAGAGAGAGAGAGGAAGTGACTTGCATCAGTGGGGTAGGGACTGTGTGTAAATTACCATGCAAGTTAAAAAGCAGGAAAATGCACAATGATTTTAAAACAAATGTAAATATAAACCAACTTTTATTAGTCAGGGGAGGCAATAGAATAGTGAGAAAATAATTTTACCCCAACTCTGTGCTGTTTTGTCTAAACATGAACATTTACAGTATCTCAAGAGTACCAATGCTATCAGGGCATATTTCTCTGACCGATTGTGTAAGGGGATAGGTCTGACACATCTCAGCTTGTTAAATCTTGTTGTACATCAAGCACTTTCCAACAATGGTTAAATGAACAATATTGTAACTAATAGAAAAAAGAGGATAAATTAAGGCAGATAAATGCACGCCACTGATGATAAGGACAACTTTAAATAAAGTGAAACAAATTAATAAGGCTGCATCTTTAAAATGTGAAACAATCAAAAATAATTACTACCAAAGAGGATATAATTTTATGCAGAAATTCTGTTTACACTGTATTTCCAAGTAAACAGCCTGCAGTAAATGGAAAAATTAGTTATCCATTTTGTGACTCTATATGCCAATATAATGTATGTTTGAGTGGGTCAGTAATCACTCTTGATTAGTCATCAGCAGTGAAAGTACAGCCCTACCATACTGTTCCACAGTGAGTGCTTCCACATTGAATTCTTGTTCTGTGCTTTAACAGCAATAATAATGGAGTGTGTTTGAGAACTTGTGTGGAAATAACAATCAGGACCAATTACTGGAAAGTCAGTGAAAGTCATTTTAAACTTGATTATCAAAAACTGTCCTATTTTTTACTCACTTATTCTGAAATCCCCCATCAAGCCACTGCACGACTGCTATACATTACAATTTGTGGAGTTAATTGAACCCATTTACAGTATGAATCAACATCAAAGTTTGGAGTTGTTTCAGTTTAATTAGACTGACCTTTCTGCCTCAAATCAGTGACTCGAGAACCCCTTTTAAATGGAAATCTGGCTGTTAAAGAGATACTTGAATACAGAAGGACATAGACAAAATATTCACGTTATAGAGCAATTTAAAGTAGTTCATATCAGTTAATGACACAATGTATGACATACTTACAATCAACCTTTGTGTCTACTGTAAAGGTTGGTAACACTACCATTTCACAATTATCTGCAGTCTGAAACAATAAGGCATTCTCATTTTTCAAAACTCCTATCGACTGAGCTGCAGACATTATACAGAGAGAAGGAAGAAGGCGGGGATCTCTTTATGTTCTTGTGGTTTATAATAATAGACAATATAAAGGTTTATAGCATTTCCACATTTTTTTGTTATAAGAGAGGATCTTGTCAAATAGCAGGTGGTCAACAGAATAGCTATCAATAATTAATATCATTTACACTTAGTGCATTGGAATAGGTTCATACTTTAGGATGCCTGAGTGTGCCGTGTTCAGTAGATTGCTCTCATATTCCATCACTGCAGCCCTGGGGAACACGAGGCTGACTTTGTGAATAGGAAGTTGTTCCATAGCCTCAAGGTGATTACACAATATTGTACCAGTGAAAATGCCTACTGTGCCTTAATAACATGGCACAACAGTTAAACTGTCACTGCAAGAGGTTTGTGTGTTTTACATTTACTCATCCTAATAGTTTGTTCTTCTTTAGAGGAGTGAATAAATGATAGTAATAGTACCTTTATTTCTCTCTTTCTTCAGACCCTGGTCCCTGAATGTACTGTAGCATCAGTTACAGGGTGATAATGAGAGACTGAATAATTTAATGAGTGAAGCTAAGAACACCAGAGTATGGGTTAATTAAGGGACACCAGGTTTTATTGCAAATACAGTCAACCTAAAGGTAGATGAAGAAGGCAGAAATTGTCCATACATATGGTAGGATGAGCCATCCCTTGCCTGTACACTGCTACATGTCCATGTACCATATCTACTGCCGTTGATTGACATTTTAAGACAGTGTGTGCATAAAATAAAGCCACCATGAAATATGTTGAAACCATTGAAATAAATATTTCCCCTTTGATTTCAGCCAAAACTTGCAAGACAACAACTAGTTCTCTGTAATCGTGCATGATTAGAGAGGTTTCTTGTGGTACCATGATAATAAGTGGGGCACATAACATGAAGGAATTCACTAAAAAAGCACACGGTGCATTTTAACAAACTTTTCCTTTCATTGTGAACTTGAATACATGCTTGAAATGGTGCTGGTTCAATTAAAAACTATTATTGTCAGGTTAAAAAGCATTTCATACAAATAATATATATATGATTTTACATTTATTTGAAGTTGCATGAAGATGCATTTTGAAAAATGGCCACTGAGAGGCAGATGGACATCAAACATATCCTCTAACAAAGCTTTTTAGTACAATTATAGTTTGGAGTTTAAGTTACTTTTGAAAACAGAATATTGGGTATTGGATAACAACATTTCAATTTTAAAATATGTACAAAATATCCTGTATTTAACTTTTAAGAACACTGACCCCTGAAAAGTCTTCTAGAAACAACACATAGAGGGGAAATACTACTGCAGATCCAGTATTTCTGCCTAAATTAGTCGGCTAATTATTCTGTGTATCATTGTTGTTTTTGAATATTCTTTCATCTTCAAACAAAAAATAATTCTCCCCCCGGTGTTATAGAATATGAACAATTTGGGTCAGTTGCCTGCCTTAGCTTTCATCTGTAGGTGTCAGTATTGCTGGAGAGATGGACTTCTGGAGGAGGGAGTGAGGTGTGACTGAATGAGTTCTCCAGTCTACAGACAGATGGAGCCCGTCGCACAGATGCCGACAGACTCCTTCTTCTTAGACAACATTAAAATAGACAACTCTTTGTTCAAATGGAGAACAAGTTCACATGTTATCCATTATCCAACCCTCTGTGTATCCTTGAATCCCTGCCAACTTAAAATTCCAGAATTTCAAGCGCAAGGCAGATTTTTGTATTGTTGTTTGTTCCGTTTAGTTTTTTTTTTTTTCTCAGTCATTGGTCAGCTGCTTGCTTTCCTTTCCCTTTAACTTGATAGCAGACGGTTAGTCTGCTTTCCATGCCAAATATGTTTCAACATAGTTTGCTCCTGCCAATAAATGAGGATGTTTATGACTTAGCTGAGTTAAACTTGAGTGGTAAGGGTGGTGACTGAGTAATATTGTGTGGCTGTGCAGTTTATGGCCAGAGATTTCCAGGAACATGTTTAAGGATTTTATTTTGTCTGACGGGAAAGATTCAAAACGTTTAACAGTCCCTGTTGGTTCACTTCCTGGGTGAATGGGCTATTTCATTATATGCTAAAATAATGGAATCGTCAGTTAACACCTCTGTTAGCAGAAACCAAGTCAAAACACAGCTTACATATTAAGATATTTAAGAAAAACTTTATTTGTGACTTATTAACAAAACACATACCAGGTCGATTAAATCATAAGAATCACTATTATCACCTTTACAATGATAAGCAGGTGTACAAAAAAAGTTATTAACAGATCTGCACTGTCACAGTCTACTGGTATGTGCCACTCACTGCCACACCCAGTGACTGAAGAACATTCACTATACACAAGCAGAGAATACATCAACTTTATTTTTTTTAATACCATTTTATGTATTTAGATTTTTTTTTATCCTTTTTCTTTATTTCTCTACCGGGCAAGGGATACATATGGAGGGTGAGTAAATGATTTGATTCCACAATAGTGTTTGTTTGATCATCATTTCAAAGATCAACACAACTTTAAGGATTGATTTTCTTATCTATGGAAATCATGAGGGTAAAACCAGAAAATAAAAGCATTTCATAGCATAACACAATAGCATTATGTATATCTAGAAGATTAAATTCATTTTCAACAGGATAAAAAATGTGATTCTTTTAGGTTTTTCCACAAATTACTGTTCGCAATAGTGTATATGTACGTGTGTGTGTGGATTAGCGAGGGTCTGTCAGTGTGTGTGTATTGTCTTTGAGAATATGTATCAGAAGTACATGTATTCCAATACGCATTTCCCAGTGGAAAAACATTTCTATATATATATCTTTATATATATATATAGTATCTATAGTATCTGTTTCCTTTGCTTATAACATGCAAACAGCCACTTGGTGATCTGACAGCACAGAAGTACACCTTAAGGACGGGGCAGGGGAAGGAATCGTGTGCATGGGAGGGATTGAGCCTGATAGTAGCACCTATATACCCCTACTGTGACTGGTAAGATAATGGTATAAAAAAAGGAACAATGAGGCGAGGCTTTCATCATGTTGATGCTGTTCTAATATCTACTGCTCCCAGTACTCTTTCTCTACCCTGCTAGACCTGCTAGAATGTCTGTAATGAAGCTGATCATTTCACGCAGTTCAGACTTGACCCACTGCAACAGCATCACTCTTGTGACTTGTATTGATCTTTGCTTGCTGGTATCGTCTTCCCTTGTTCCATCATGATGGGTGCACAATAGAAAATGTCAGCAGTGTGCTTCACCTCCATTAATCCCTAAGTGGGTTTCCCCCTTCCAAGTCAACTGGCAACCTCTGTCCACTGCTGCTGAACCGCGCTACACTTATTTTTAAGTGGTTTTACTCGACCCAAGTTCATCAATTGTCACTAATAGCTGACACAAAGGAATAACTGCAAAAGCGGAATGCCTTGCTCATCTCTGCTGTAGTTTCTTCTATGTTGGAGCTACACAATACACTACAATTTTCTATTTCTTCTTCTTTTGCCTCTCCATCTTGTCTCATTATAGCCAGTACAGTTTAATCTCAGTTTTTGCTAACCTGTCAGATGTTCTTATAACGCAATGCGTAGAACCAATATGCGAGATGACAGAGCTGTCAACAATGAGCAATCAGGAGAGACACTCTGGCTGAAGTGCATGAGCTAGGTTGAAGTTGAACCTAACAAAAGATGTGTGTGTGTGTGTGTTTGTGTGGTATGTGCAGTATAATGTGCATGTGACTATGTGTGTATTCCGTGTGTAAATATGCAAATACACAAATGTCACTGTGTTACGACAGCACAGTTCATTGAAGGAGGGTGACTTGAAAGATGTCATCCAACCACGCTGATTTGAAGAAACGGGAGTAGAGGGAGGAAACAGGCAGCGGAAGCAAGCAAATCCTACAAGCACTGAAACAGTCGAGGCAGTGGTGCAGGGCTTGAAGAACATCTACTTAACATTCAAAGACAGAAGTAGAGGGATCAGGCTTGAACAGAAATGAAGCAACAAGCAACGTTCCTGCGTCCCAGCCATATAATACACTCACATATTAAGGATGGCACTGGCCTTCAGTCTTGGAGTTTTCTGAAAGGGGTGTGTATTCTTATAGTATATTTTTGTATGATGTGTATTTGTATATACTGTATGTCTGTGTGTATAAGAGAGGAAGAGAGAGCATGTGTACTTTCTTAGGTGTATGTGTGAGTAAGAGGCATAGAGAGTCAGTGTCTGTGTACAATAATGTGTGCATCAGGCTCGTGCTGATACACAGTGGGATTTAGACCCCATTGACCTATGCCGTATTCCAAGAGAAGAGGCAAGATCAGGGGCCGGTTGCGTCAGCTGCACATAGGTTCCCTAGTTACTTAGTTATCAGAAGTAGCCAATTATCCCGATTCACGCTTTGCTAAAACACAAGCGGTAGCACCACAAAAATCTGTTAAGTAACAACTAAATAGTTAAGCAAGCAGTAAAGCAGGTGCAAATGATACGAAGTCACACAATTGCACTCACTAACAATAAAGCAGGATTTTTTTTTCATTTTTTGCACAGTGTTTTTTTTTTTTCTTATTTAGTAAATTCATGCCATTTTGCAACTTAAAGGACTTAACAATTTTGGATGTTTTCCCCCATTTTCTACAAATTGGAAAATATTGATTACAATTTTCCTGTAGATTTTATATATTTTCTTTTTCAGGCTGAATCCGGTTCCCATTCAATTCCAATTCCAACGTGAAAACTCAACATGGTGAGAATTGCTTGACATACGTAATCCATCATGCCTGTGTTTAGTTTCACCAATATTAAGTTATTGTGCCAATGCAGTGCAGTTTCCCAATGTGCACTTCAGCTTCATTACCATGTAATGAAACCGCAACTTATACAACAATTAAACGGACGCTGAACTCCGCTTTGATGAATTTCTAAATCCGAAAAAGTGTAAGCTAATCAATTTTTGTGTAAAAACAATGGCTGCCTGAAAGGTGGGAAAAAACCCACAATGGTCTCTTGACGTAAAGTATACAAGATATATGTAAAATAGCCTACAACATGCCAAAACTAGTACTGTCCTTTAAGTCAAATATGGATTCTATTTACCAATCGTAATTTTTATGCCAATCTAGTCAACTACAAATCCATGTGGTTTGTACCCATCAGCAAAGTAATGCTATTACTGATTGGCTACTCATCTGAAATCTTAATATTTTAATAAGCTACAGCTGTAGAATTCCCCCCCTTACTACTCATGGTACAATCAAATTTAGTAACTTGCAAATTGCAAATTAACTAGCAGTTATGAAGCCATTACTTTACACCCTAATCTGGGAACAAACTTGCGCATAGTTGGTGCAACCCAGTCCAGGTCCTCAGCCTCTGCAATGTGCTATGTTACACTGAAACAGAGCTATTTATTAGAGCGTGGTCCTGCTTGTCTCAGTCACCTCATTTTCGTAAAGGTGATAATCTCATGGTACATATACTGTATGTTGTTACTTTTTCATTTTTCATTTTTTTATATAAAAGACCACATTTTCTGAATTTCTACAAGGCCTCCATAATACTGAAAACAAAAGCCTCTGTTTAATTTTTTTAGTTTGGCTTCTGCTTCACCTCCAACTAGGTGAGCCAAAAAGGGAGGGGGGCTGCATAAAGACAGAGATGCCAACACAGGCAGCCTCAGCTGACAATGGTCAGATACAGATAGTACACCTTTTCAGGTGTTTTTGTTTTTAGTATACAAACACAGAAAGGCTAATCTAATCCAATAAAATCCTTTGTTATAATTTGGTCCAGCCTTTAGATGAAGTCTGTCTACTAAGAACATTTGTTTACCATAAACCTTAGACTTTAATAGGCCAAAGTTATGGGCCAAATGAGGTTTGCATTATGTGGGGAGCCAGGCTTGGTCTAATGAGGGTTTGGCCACTGTACAATGTCTATGCAAATATGGTGCAACCAGGCTCCCTCAGTTCTACAATATGCATTTGGCTTTTTTTCTGGCTCTGTAATTTGGATGGTAAATTGTTGGTAGCTCTGTTTTCAAGTCACCCCTTCTGCTTTATTCTTCCCCATCATCCTTTCCTTTCTCCTTCTTGTCCTTCTTGTCCTTCTTCTTCTTCTTCTTCTTCTTGGCCTCCTCCTTCTTGCCAAAGCTTATGAAGTCACCTTTGTCGTCCACAGGGCCAGCGTCATGGCGAATAGAAATGATGGCTGGGGATCCGGGGATGATGAAGGCTTCAGGAGGAATCTCTCCGGGCTTCAGGGGTTGAGGGGGGCCGTAGCCTTGTCCGGCACCGTATCTGAAGTGCCAGCTGTTGCTGTTGACTCCAGCGCCCACTGGGGGTGATAGCTCTCCACCACCCTCTCCATCTACATGGGTGTGATGAAAAAATAAAAAATAAATCATGTCAAATCTGGCTGCTCATTACCTATATTCAATCATCACTGTAACCACAGTGCTAGTTAAAGTTAAAGATATACTGTAGGTCCGTATATTGGAAAGCAGGTTTATTCGCTGAGTTAGATGACGAAATCAACACCATTCTCACGTGTGTATGGTAAAATATGAAGCTACAGCCTGCAGTTGGTTAGCGTTGTTTAGTACAAAGACTGAAAGCAGGGGCAATGTCTAGCATGGCTCTGTCCAAAGGTAACAAAAGCAACCTTTCAGCAAGGTCACTAACTTCTGTGTTGTCAGCTTATGATTTTAAGTGTATGTTTGTTTTTTGCGTTTTTGTTTTTTTAATTTTGTCTGTAGACCATATTTTAATGTTCTTATAACATCAGCCTGCCAGGGACTTCAGATGAAAATTAGTCTGTATGGCTAAATCTGGCTCATTTACATTTGGGCATTGTCCTTATGTAAATAGGCAACGAGCAGAGACCCTACCTTGAAGTATCAATTCTATAGTAACTCTTTACACATATTTTGTATTATGTTGATTTGCTTCCAAGTGGTAGAAGGAGCAAAGTCTGTTCAGACCAGGACTTCACAGAGGTAGATCCCCTTCTATTAGCTTACTCATTGTGAAGTATGTTTTAATATGTCCTGATTGTCATGAGTTGTTTCATACTTAGACTGGTCTTTGAGACGTTCATTAAATCTGACATACAAGGAATAATCTAAATCAAGCAAAAGCGAGCAGAGCAATAGCCTGACAATGGTGTGATAGCCACAGCGAGTAGATTTTTCAGGACAGAAATTCAGCCGACTGGACTGGACTGGAGTAACCTTTAAACCACAGGGGTGTATAACTTGGCAATGTGATTTGTATTTGTATTTGGATGATGGCAGCAGCTTAATCCTACTCTTAACTTTAGTGCTCAAGCATGGATGTGACAGAAAGGAAACCAGATTGAAATTCATCAAAAAGGTACATCAATACATAGAGAAACGGTTATTTAAAGTGGAAATAAGACATAGCTATTAAGGTCAAAAGGTTAAAGATGCTGGAATGAAATGGATGAGCTAAGGAGAGAGAGAGAGAGAGAGAGAGGGAAAGCTGGGGATGGGTGGGTTTTGCAGACACGGTGCTCTCACACCAGTTCCCTCTGCACTGACCTACTTTCAGCCTGGATTTTATTTTGATCAAACACAGGCCCTTGCAAAAAGATTCTGTTTGATTTTTCTTTGTAGGCTATTTATGACATTGCTGAAACGCTGAAATGGTTTCACCCACTGTCCCACTGGGAAGTACACTATTTTAAAAAATACACACTGTCTGTTACAGCACAGTGTCCCACTCAGTCCCATCGAGTATGAGAATTAATACGAGACTATAATAAGAGCACATGTAATGGACACTAACGCACTGCTCAATGGACAGCTCTATGTTGTTGCCCTGTTTAACCACTCAGCAAAGAGCACACAAACAGTACTGGACACCTTTCACATAGAGCCATTGTATTTTATTGAGTTATATTAACTAATGCGTATATTGTGCTGTGAAGGATTTATTTTAATAATAAAATAAATAGGAGAGGTCAGATATTGTGGCTTTTAACCTACAGTAGCAGCAACATAACATTGTTACAGGAAGATACGAACACAGACACACATAAATAATTTGTTTTCTACCTGCAAAAATAGACATATTCATTTTTAAGTTACATTAAATAATCAGCATGTGAAGAACCAGGATCGCATATACATCATTTCAAACTATGGCTGCTGAACAAAATCCAGATTTAGCTAAGCTTTGTTTTTTGCAGTTTTGTTTCATGTTAAACAATTTTTTCATAACATTTGGATAGCCAATTGCAGCTAATTGAGCTACCTAATTTAGCTCGTTTAATGGCTATTCAGTGTCAGATCATCTTACCATTAGTGGAGTTAGTGCTTTAATACTGCAATGCTAGTCTGAGTATTATGACATTTGATGGTATGGTCTGTCTGTTTATATTTAATCTGGGTATTAAACCCAGGAAGAGGAGCCCTAAATCCCATTGAATTGCCCTCAGTGGTTAGGCAAGGAAGATTGCTTCTCATGTGGAGGAGGACAAACGTGCTGAAAATAAACTGAAAAGACAGTCGTGAGTTAAAGGAGATGTGTAAAATGCTGTGAGGCAGAATGTGGATGAGCTTATTGAACCAGTAATGCAGTGCATTGTATTGCTGTACACGATGCACCTCCATTTTATACAATTGAAAAACCATTTCCTGTAACCTGATGCTACAGTGCTGTATAAAGGAAGGTGATTTGATGCTCAGTCATAATAGTTTGGAAATACTTTATTTAGACGGCCTTGTATTGATAGTTGACTAAATACCTACATCTTTTTTCCACATTTTACATTTCATTTTTACAGGTTAGTGTATATAACCCTGTCATTTTAAACCATTAAACCCAATGCAAGGCAGGCATTGAATACCTGCAGACTACTTTTCACTATAAGTTAACTTTGTAGTGACATGTTACACATTGCGAGCTACATAGTGCTAGAGGGAAACCATGAGGTCACTAAAAGAACATTCCAGTATATTTGAGCCTGGTGTAAATTATAAAAATGTGGCTGTTGTGACTCTATGGATCCTGCTAACGCTACCACCTCCGTTGTAGAGATTAGAGGAAATCAGGACTCGTGCAAAACAATTTCTTATGTGGCATGCTGCACGAGCCTCCTAAAGCACTGATTTTTTACATGAATGATTTGAAACAGGTGTCTCCGAGTCCAAAGCAATTCAGAAAGTAGCTCCCTGGACAACATGTCCTCATACCTATATGGAAAATAGGTTGAATTTCACCCCAAAACGAAATGTATGACCATAGGAAATTACAAGTCCAGCAGCAGTCTTAAGTATGTTACGTAAGTTATGCGAAGTTTAACACGTGGTTAATGTTGTTTGGTCAGATTTAGGCAATGCAACGTAAACTTGCCCAAAATAGAAAATGTTCATCGTCTGGGAAGTATGAATGCACTCACTAAATTTGAATTGATAAAGCCTGATGGAAGTGCTAGAGGAAAGCACATGGGTTTCACTGAAACATCAGGATTCATCCTCTCTGGCTAATTAGCTCAAGAATTTATAGAAAAACATTTCTGACATATCTTGATTTGATTTAAGTGTGTGGATAATATGTTAAACTATATTGGGTACTGGGTCATCTAATGGTTTTGGCCAGACCATTATAAGTAGGCTACCACATACTTAATTGAGTACTGGACAAGTTATGATGGCAGAATAAACAAGACTTAAGATACAGTGAAACTTGTGCTGTTTAAAACTGTTCCTAACTCTCTAAAGCTTACTAAGCGAGTAAGACATTTATGCAAGATTACTGTAGTAAAGCTTTAAACTGGACTATTATAATTGTGTTCCTGAAAATTGTACACTATCATGGCAGTACAAATTTTGTGTTATGTACCCGTGACAGGTCTAGGGCAGTTCATTTCCCTATGTGTGACCAACTGAGCAAAAATGTTAAGTGGCTGTGTAGCATCTAATCAAGTAAATGTTGTCTCGTGTCTTGGGACATCCCAGGGCTTTCTGCACTTGCTGTGACAAATCAAAAACCCTTGACACTGTCCCAGGTGGTAATCTGAGATATTCCTGTCTGTGTGTGCGTGAAAAAGCTCGAATGAGTCGGTACAACTATGAAGAGCTTTGCTTCCCCTGTGCTGCTGTTTGTCTAACATCAGAGGATTATTTGCAACTCTGCCATTGCTTCATATTAGCCTATATATCCCAGCAAACACGCGTCTGAAACGGATTATGGTGTAACTGCCAGTAAGCAGGTCAGCACAGCTCCTTGTGAGGAGGCTGCCATTAAACCTGATGTAGATATGTGACTGTTGGAAGCCTCATTTCGTGTAACCTCATGTCCTACATTTAAATTTAGCTATGTTATTTCCTGTCTAGTCCAAGACATTCCATCTAAAATGAATCCCTCTGGTGGTTTGCAGCACACACAAATGTGACAGTCGTGTAGTGCCTGTGTAAATGCGGTACATCACATGTATTCTGCATGAGACACCTCTACCTAAAACAGTCTTGCCTACATTATTTCCTCTCAATTGCTGCGCACCCCTTTTTCTTCCTAATACCTGCCCTTGCTGGGTCCCCTTCCCTTTCTCACTCCTTCCCTTTTTTTTTCTCCTGTCTCTAAATCTTCCATTCAGCGATATGACCGGTTGCCATGGAAACTGCCTGCTGATGGAGGGTGCGGCTGCTGCAGCAATCTCTCAGTTAGACAGTGTTGCCAGGCAACAGGTCACATGGCGTTCCCTAGCAACAACACTACTGCAGGAACCTGCCAATCCTCTTAACCTTTCTCTTTCTCCATCCCCCCACACCTCGCTTTTTATCCTCCATCCCCCTGTGTGTCTCCTCCGCTCTTCCTCTCCAAAATTGCTTTTAATGTTACAGGATCTCTCTTTTTTTCATGGTACTCTCCCATTGCTGATAATAGCTTCTCTCCCCCTCTGGCGTTAGACAAATGTCTCCTCATCTGCGGGGTCACTTACATAAACACAGTTTTGAGGGTGCTGCATTTAGATGCATCACAGCATATCAGACAACTTCATCATGATAACAGTTCACTGCAGACATGAAATATGTCACAAAACAAGGCTCCACCTCTTGATGCATAGTAAAGAGGATCAACCTGCAATCCAGTACATGTCTATGCTTTGGCAGTGAGTCACTCCTGACAAATTATTTCCGAATGCAACAATGCACCCCTAATAGCTCTGCAGTATGCTGTGCACTCTGCTTTAAGACAGTATTCTTTACATGAAAGAGGCAGCTTTCCCTCTGCTCCAAAGAAAATACACATCTTTGCAGCACACTGGCACAGGGATGCTGGGAAGTGGTACAGTTTGTATCTCAAACAATTTCCCAGCTCTCTTTTGCACAGAGAGAAATGCTGACAGACAGTAAGACATATCCTGTCACTGACTCGTCGAGTGATTGACTGCGATGTTACCCTTCACCCTCAAGTCTCTGCCTACAGTGTGTGCTAATTCCTGCTGCTAGACAGAAAATCAATGAATGGAAGATCAGCTAAACGCCGAAGGGAACAGCTCACAATGTTCCAAACACTGTTTCAAAATCAAAGTTATAAGTTATCCAGTCTACTGATAGGAGCTGCACACAATGTATATTTGTGCTTTTCTACATACAGTAGTACTCCCAAATTTCAGTCATTAGCTCTGAGCCAGTGTTTCTGCGAATGATGAAGCGCGGGTCCTTTTATTTTTACTGTTGCCACACATTTTCAATGTTGCCACCCACTCAGGACAATTCATGTCTTTTTAAAAACATTTGCCTTTTTCAGTTAGTAGCTCTCTGTGCTGCCAGCTGCTTTTATGGGAGGATACAGTTGTTTATCTGTGGCTCTGCATAAGGGCCCCAGGCATTTGGCACCTCAGCTCAGCTCTGTACATACATAGCACTGGAATTCAAGATCATGTAGATTTCAAAGGACAAGTCTGTACAAACCCCACTTTACTTTATTATCTAAACCAAAGTAAAAACAAAGATGAATTCAACGTATTGGATAATAGAATTGAATGCCATGGATATATTGTAATGTGTGATTGTGCATTTAGGTGTGGTGACCTTTGGCTAAACTAAAATCTCTGCAACTGTCTCACCACTCGAAAGAGGATATAACATGTTGACTGATGAGCTTTAGCGGTGTTGGTAGTCCGGCTGTTTCCCCCTGCTCCCTGTCTTTATGCTAAGCTAAGCTAACTCATGGCCATTCGTGGCTCTAGCTTCATCTTTAGAGTACAGACATGAGAATTGAAATGATGATCTCATCTAACCCTCAGCACAAAAAATGAACAAGCATATTTCCCAAAATGTCAAACTATTCCTTTAACCTACCATAACCAGTATGAATGAGATACAAATCGATGGAAACGTAACGTAAAAAAATCAGCATTTCAATTAGCCAAAATATTCCTATTATAGTCATATCCTCTTCCTTCTGAGCTTAAAATCTGTCTAAACTTATTTCTAGCATAATTTGTAGTTTGGAGCACTAGTGAGGAGCATACAGCATCTAAGAAACATTCATACTCAACTCATTCATTGTTGCCATTGAGTAGCTATATGGTAATAGCTAACATGATAGTTTTAACCTATTGGCAATAGTAGGTGATGCCCTTCTGTCTAACGGTCTAATCATTTATTTTTGACTCCAGTATATACTAATAGCTTCCACAGTCTATTATATTTATGAACCCTAGTGTTGATTCTCTTCACTGGCCAGCAATTAGCTACATCAGGAGACAGTAACACGAGTCACAAGTGCAGCGACAAGGACAACAACACTTGCTGGCTTCCAACCCAGTATGTTTTTGGCACACACAACCAGGGTACCAGAGGTTCAAATCCCAGGTGCCTCTGGTTGTGGGCGGGAACCTTACCCTTATAATACCCTAACTTTGACTACTATATTGGAGAATATTCTATATTGCAGTTATAAAACAATTATTTAGAAGCTTAAGCATGTCTTTCAACAAATAGATTGGGGTTACATATGACATAAAAATATTTTAGTACACCTGACTTGAACATTTTGTCTTTGATAGATTTTGCAGCAAAGATTAATGAAATCTTGTAAAGTGGGCAAAGTCAGTTAGCTTTCAAAATTAGTTACCTTTCACTCTTATCAGTTTTCTGTTACCATTGCCCCAAAGGAGCTGACACTGAAGGTGCTTTTCACTTTGTCCTGACTGCTGGACATCGACTCACCTGCAGCGCTGGACACAGTGGGCCAGTTCTGGACCAGCATTCCCTGTGCTCCCTGCATCACAGAAGATTCCTCCATGTGGACCGAACTGCAAGGCAGAACACATTCAGTAAACTCAGTGAGACACATTGCATCAAATATGAATTCAACATTGGCATGAATGAAACACTGACTCTATAATTAGGGCCTTGATCTCTAGCTATTAATTATATTTTGCTAAAAGAACTTTGTTTTGCTTGATGGTGTAGATATTCCCAAAACCTCCACTGAAATGGTAATTCAACCCCAGAAAATTGCTTACAGTGTCAAAATTTCAAGCAGCATTAATCACTGTTTTAGGCCTCAACAGCATTAATAGTTGCCTATTTGCCTGAGGCAACCAGCTTTGGACTACTGTCACCCATTTCTTGTGGTCTTGTTTCCCATAACCACTTTCCCCTTTTTGTATTTTAAAAGAAAACATCACATCCTTCACGTAGAATCCTGTGAATGCTGTGCTTTTCCTACTGGGACATGTCTAAATGTTTTACAAGAAAAGGCCAAACTGTCAAACTTCAGAATAAGAATGCATGAAATCCGCATATCGTTTCAAAGCATTCCTTCATTGTTAGCTACATTTTAAACAAATACATACAAACACATTTTTTGTTTACTTTGGCAATCAAAAGCTGATGACCGGTTGCCTGGCAGTAATGGCAGTAGATGTATACATCACCCCAGCTGATCTAATCAAGTTTCTGCCAAGTTTTCCAAATCGTCTTCATCTCCCTATCAAATTACTAGTGGTGGCCAACCTCGAATACTGATATTGAGGGGACTGGTTCTGAGATATATTTCAAATGTTTATTTAATTTAATTGTGAAGATCAAAACTGACAACTAATGAAAATCCCAAATTCAGTATCTCCGAAAATTAGATTACTTACAATACCAATACAAAAAAAAAGGACTTTTAGAAATGTTGGCCAACTGAAAAGTATGAACATGAAAAGTATGAGCATGTACAGCACTCAATACTTAGTTGGGGCTCCTTTTGCCTGAATTACTGCAGCAATGCGGTGTGGCATGGAGTCCATCAGTCTGTGGCACTGCTCAGGTATTATGAGAGCCCAGGTTGCTCTGATAGTGGCCTTCAGCTCTTCTGCATTGTTGTGTCTGGCATATCGCATCTTCCTCTTCACAATAGCCCATAGATTTTCTATAGGGTTAAGGTCAGGCGAGTTTGCTGGCCAATTAAGAACAGGGATACCATGGTCCTTAAACCAGGTACTGGTAGCTTTGGCTCTGTGTGCAGATGCCAAGTCCTGTTGGAAAATGAAATCTGCATCTCCATAAAGTTGGTCAGCAGCAGGAAGCATGAAGTGCTCTGAAACTTCCTGGTAGACGGCTGGGCTGACCTTGGACCTCAGAAACACAGTGGACCAACACACACAGAGCTCTGTGAACAGCCAGCCTCTTTAGCAATGACCTTTTGTGTCTTGCCCTCCTTGTGCAAGGTGTCAATGGTTGTCTTTTGGACAGCTGTCAAGTCAGCAGTCTTCCCCATGATTGTGTAGCCTACAGAACTAGACTGAGAGACCATTTAAAGGCCTTTGCAGGTGTTTTGAGTTAATTAGCTGATTAGAGTGTGGCACCAGGTGTCTTCAATATTGAACCTTTTCACAATATTCTAATTTTCTGAGATACTGATTTGGGGGTTTTCATTAGTTGTCAGTTGTAATCATCAAAATTAAAGGAATGAACACTTTACATATATCAGTCTGTGTGGAATGAATGTATGCATTATACAAGTTTCACTTTTTGAATTAAATTACTGAAATAAATCAACTTTTTGATAATATTCTAATTATATGACCAGCACCTGTATACATTTAGACATTTTTCGATACGTTGTTGTCAGTGGACTGGTTGGAAGCGAGGAAAAGAAGACAAAATTATAAATATAAGCAACATATGTCTCGCTCAAACCATGGTATGGTGCAGGTTCAGTTTTTTGAAAGAACCACATCAGGCATCAAATACAGCATTCATCTATATGGCAAGCAACAAATACACAATACATTTGTATGTGTGTTTTAATGCACCTCTTTTGTTGTTTTTTCATATGTCAACATACTTAAAATGACATTTATTTACATATTTAATTGAGATACATAACATATTTAATATCATTAATGGCATGCTGTAAGTATTTCAGCTTATCTTGCTACATAGTAATATTTTAATAATTATATGTATAAAAAGTAGGACACTAACACACCCAAATAAAAAGGTTTTTTTTTTAACTCACACCACAAGGATCTCAGGATGGCACCAAAGTGGAGGTCTTGACATCTCAGATGGTTTTCTTTTTTTCTTTTTCAATAGAAGTGATAGCCCGGAGGGTCTATTTTTCTAAGCTCTACTCTTCTGTTTAGCTGGTGCGTATGTATCGCACTGAGACATAGCAATGTATAAACAACTACTTTCACTGTTGACTGTCAATTAGCCACAAAAGAAATTTAAAAATTTATAATTCTCAGTATATAATAGCCTGCTTCTGTCCAAAGATCAAAAATATGAGACTTCCTGAAGTCTTGTTGTCACAGTGAAGTTGTCGGGCAACCAGTAGAGGCTAATTTCAACAGCTCAGTTTTTGAATGGCTTAAACAAAAGAAATAAAACACGTTCAAATGAGCTATATTGAGGTGCTGGAAGGTGTATTTTGTCAGCTGTTTCCCTCTTTTTCCAGCCTTTATACTCAGCTAAAATAACTGGCTGGTTGCTGTAACTTAACTGTGAGTGGTACAGTGTCAATCTTCTCATCTAATTCTGGCAAGAAAGTTAATAAGCACATTCCTTTAATAAGGTGAATACTGGTTGTATACATTTGTTTTTGTAAATATTGCAATGCTTTACAAAAGCAAAAGGAAACAGAAGATAGCTGTTTGAATCAGGACAGTCAGGAATCACCATAATCTTTGCAAATACCAATGAACATCCCAAGAGTTCCGTCAGAAACATTATAGTACTTGGGAAATATGACCTATAAAAATGTGTCTTTAAATGTATAAACTCTTATGCTGTAATAAACATACAAAGCATGCAGTTTCCAACCTAGGCTGAGATGTTTCCCCCCATACATTCATAATGAATAATAGAACTTTCTGTATAAGAGGACCCAGGCTGACTGGGGCCTCTGCAATGCAGCACACCCAGCATCTATCTCAAACTTCAACACACTTGTTATGTTGAATTGGGATTTGTCATGAATATAAAATGGCCATGTGCATTCTGAGCAGTGTGGGCTTTTAAGCTTTTACATAAGCAAAGGTGCTGGTTTAATGTGGGAGAATATGACACCAACAGGGATGGCTGGTGTTTTCTACACTCACTGACTACACCAGGAATGTGGGTCAGTAATGGTTTGTGCTTCATGCTGTGTGTGGTGTGATACATTACAGCACGCGTGTGTTGGGGTTAAGAGTTAATATGAGCCTCTCTGTGTCTATGTGTGTTACAGACACTGCCATTTCAGATATGGCAGCGGCAAATTGCAATGATGATTCATGTTAATTCATGTCATGTTACAGTGACACACATTATGATACCCTGCACACCACAGAAATGAATACTAATATCCAATTAAATCAAACTTAGACAGAACACAACTGAGCAGTTAGCATTGCTAACTGTTTGAAATTATGAAAATTCTGTACAAATGATATCTGGAGGTAAAACTCTTTAGTCCCTGGTGTTCCTGCTTTCATCACATGGCATTACAAAAGCACTTTATTACATGGTTTAATACAACTTTTGTCACCTAAGATGCAAAAATGACCATTTTATACCATTATTGTTGAATCCGTTTAATTTCAGTATTCCCTATTTTGTCAGTAGGTAGCTAATGAGAATGCCTACATGTATAACACTTCTCTACCCAGACAAGGGACTCTAAAATACTTCACTGTGTTTTGCAGTGTAGTTTAATATTAACCTAGATAATCTTTTAACCCAAATCTCAGAAACCTGCTTATTAATGTTGGGAGAAACCTGAACCCATTTGTCCAAAAATGCTTCTAACAACCTAATTATTTGTTGTTTCAGTGTAACAATTATTGCACATTAAGCATATTGTGTAACCATATCTACTGTATCTATTGATCTTTAGATCAATCTATTGTTGGGATTTGGTCAAGCTAACCTTCTGAATCTGGATAAACAGAGTGCATGCAAGCACACCAAGTGAATTAACAAATATCACTGGGGTCCAAAGTGTCCTCAATTGTCTGTTTTCACAAGTTCTTCCCTCATCTCTGGACAAAAATGTCTAAATACACATAGAAAGGGTCGTTGTACGTGCAGACACAAATGCATGTGCGCATCTGATAATCTGAGAAAGGTCATAGTAAGCTCATTTGTCCTTCACGTAACAGGGGGAAGCGACGCTCAGAATGTAGATGACCTATATAGTATTACACTGCAGAGGAGGAGTGCTATGCTTCCACTTATGGGAGCTGTACAAAGCTTTTCCCAAAGCAAGAGGATGGGGTTGAGGTTCAAACATGCTCTGGGGACACTACTGGTCATTTCTGATAATGGCACATTCTGATCTGCAGTGTTATGTTGCAGTGTCTTTTTTTTAATAGAGGTCATTTTGAGGAGCAGGTCTGATGCGTCAATAAATATTTTGCTTAGAGATACCTTACATTGCAGCTGTGGTAAAGAGCATTGTGAAAGGCTACTGTAGCAGCAGAACAGACTGGGTGTAGACAGTATGAGCAGGACAAATAGGTGTAACTTCTTCTAGATGATCACAAGTTGCAAAACAGTTAAAGATGCAAAGTGCTTACCTCTGCACCCCTGCCCTCAAAGATGCAGAATATCGCCAGTCAGCATTCGGGGCTTTTGGCTGAGCGAGCAAGAGGTAGAGCGAAAGAGAGAGAGAGAGAGAGAGAGAGACAGAGAGAGAGAGGAGGGGAAGAAAGAGAAGAGAAAGGGGGGGAAGAGAGAGTTTAGTTTGATCTCATACAGTGCAGAGCCAGGCAGGGCCACGGTCTCATCAATTAATCATGATACACATCCCAGCTCTTGACATGATAGGAACACTGCAGTTGTGTCCCCATTGCAAGCACACACACACACACACACACACACACACACACACACAGGCACACATATTGATATGCACACACAGAGACACTGAAGTACTTTAAAAAGGGTGGTGACTGAAAGCCATGTTGATGACTCTTTGGACAGTCCCACACACCATGTCTCTATAAATGTGAGAGCTGGGAGAGTTATGTCCTTTCCCTGACTGCTGGGGTGTTTGTATAGGCTGATGTGTGTCACTGAGGTAAATCTCTCTGCTCCTAGTGAACCTGGTGCTGAGTGCCTGAAACTCCCAGCAGTCCTCTGGTTAAATTATTGGCTTTAAAAACCAATAAGCAGGAGCCATCATCACCATGGCAACTACATCCTATACTCTGGGTCTGTTTTTGCTCAGGAATGTGTAGGAATTAGTCTAAGACAAGGTGTGGGATAAATTATAAATAATATATCACAAATGATCATTTCATAGTTTCGAAGTGATTGTACCTTCCATTTTCTTGCTTTGGAGATTTACTTGATTCTGATTCAGATGAATGGATATCTCCAAAGCCTTGCTTGTTATCAAATTGAACTAAAAACCTCATAAATAATATGATATTGTGATGTTTCCAAGAACACATACACAAAAAAACTGGTGAAATTATAACAAACTGCCAGGACAAATGCTTTTCATTTGCCTGTGATGATCGCCACATTTTCCTGATGGTTGTGCCTTTAAGTTCGAAGAACCATATGAATCTTAGGGTGAAAAAAATCATATTTTTAATGAGCTAATCTTTCATGGCCATTATTTATGCCTGACTCTCTCATTATTATTTTCCTTGTGAGTAGGTACTGTTCACATGCACTGTAACAAGTGAATGTGAACATCTGTGTTACAGCTAATGCTAAAATCTGTCAGCATCATGTGGGATTTAGCATTGGACCTCAAGTGCACTGAATAAGAAAAGCTGTGTTTAAGACACAAACCCGCTCAGGCAGTAGCAAGTGTCCCAGATAAAGATGGCACATTATGTTCCTCAGTTCAATTCAGAGGGGAGTATTTTGTGCTGGTAGACCCAGCTTCTTTGAGTAAATCTAATTTGCAGGGCTGGGGAACAGATGCTGGAGGTTAATTTAATTTACACTGCTACACTAGTCTTGGTAAGAGATTTTCTTATAACTAATGGACCATTAATAATGGCATTTGATTGTGTATGTATCCAGATATAACATCTTAATCTTAGAAGCTTTGCCTCAACAATCTGACATTAAAAAATATATTATTCCAGTATTTGAACCACTGATCTCTCTAACCTCACTAGCTTAAAAGCAGAACATAGCTACGTTAGAAATATCTGCTAGAGTCAATACCATTAAATCTACGATTAAAGGGTATTTCAACATTTAAGGGCTACACAAATGGTTCATGTTTGGCAAAGAAAGACGTTATACAGGACTTCATACCAAGCAAATAGCAATATTTTTGAATTGTTACCTCTACATTAATAGTATTTCAGGTGTGACTGTTTTTTTCTTGTTGCAATATTTCACATATGGTCTAGCAAGTAAACACATTCATTCACACTCAAGTTCAGAAACTTGTATTTCTGAGCTGTTTCATGATAAAACCTACCAACAATTCCTAGTCTCATCACAGTATCATTACTAGGTAAATGTATCTCTCTCCCATAGTCAGAGGCAACAACCACTAGTCTCGTAGGGCCTATGATCAAGTCAATTAACCTCCAGTGTAACAGTCTTACTCACACACACATACACTTGCAGAGAGAATGAGCAAGTGGGGAAGACTTTGTGACCTGTTCTTAGTGTAGATGTGATGACAACCTCAAACTGAAAAACAAATCTCTGAATCATCAGAAATAACACAGGACCCTGAAAAGCATCAGGCCTGACACTAATGCAGTGTGAGTGCTGAGCTTGGCTGAACTGGCTGCACAGTACAAGTGGGAAATGAACAAAGAGAAGGAGGCCTGCAAGGATTGAATCCACTGCTGGAGGGGATCAAACTTGACATACAGGAATATCATTCCCTGCAGCAACAAAATAACACAAAATTATGGCAACAATGCATACTGTCGTAATAACCTTAATGAAAAGTCCTGTTGAGTATGTACTTCAAAGGGTCTTATATTGTTTGGAACTAAATTAAATTTCGTTAAAAGCCACTAATATGTAAACATAATGATCCATGTACTTCCAGTTATGCAGACAAAGGACAAACAGAAAAAAATGAATGACACACCTCTGGGCAGAGCTGCAGCGAGGCATCAGGCATGCTCAGTCTGCGTACAAATCCACTTCCACTCGTGAAGAAGCGGTCAGCACCGCTGCCCCAGGTGCCACTGATGGGGCGTCCTGTGTTGTAGAACATGAAAGTGTCACTGCCAGAGGTGGCTGTCAGGCAGGTCTTGTAGCAGTATGTCTTTGTTAGGGAGCCATTCCCGCGCACTTCGATGTAGTGAGGCTCCACTTTAAGGTCTCTCCGAAGCACCACATTATTATTAGGTTGTGCCCCGGCTGCAGCACTGCCTCCCCCGCCAGCACTTACGCTGCTGCTCCCACCATCTGGAGGGGGCTTCTGTGACACACAGCAAGGGGAACAGGAGCCAGGCTGGGTGCAGTAGGCGTGACAGCGGACGATGGCCAGCACCACCACAGTGACCAGGAAAACAAAAGTGGTGGCACTCAAAGCCACAATCAAGTAGAGGGTGACGTTGGAGAATAGCAGTGTGCTGTGAGGCCGGATGATCCTCTTGGGGTCAGGGACCACTTTGGGCGGCACCTCCATGACAGCCACGTTGATGGTGGCGGTGGAGGAAAGAGTAGGCTGCCCGTGGTCCTTCACTACAACGGTTAGAGTAAAGGAGGTGGAGTTGTCCTCCAGGATCCTTCGAGTGGTCCTGATCTCACCAGTGTGTTCGTGCACCTTGAACAAGTCCAGGTCAGTGGCCGTCTCCAGCACGTACACCATCCAGGCATTTGGACCAGCGTCTGCATCGTATGCCACCACTTTGGTCACCAAGGCACCGGGCTCTGCGTTCTTTTGTACCGTTTCCAAAGAGCGTGTGCCATTGCCGGGAGGGTTGACTATCAGTGGTGCATGGTCATTCTGATCCATTATGTAGATGTAGACAGTGGCAACGCGGCTCAGTGGTGGAATGCCCCCATCTTGGGCTTTGACCTGGAAGTGAAACTCTCTCAGTGACTCATAGTCAAAGGCTCGCAGGGCATACGCCTCCCCTGTATCGGCCTTCACAGACACATACGAGGTGACAGGGATGCCATGGTTGTTGTCATTGAGCACTGTGTAGGTGATGCGTGCGTTCTCTTTGATGTCTGCGTCTTGAGCTTTTACAGTGCACAAAGAGGCTCCGGGGGCATTGTTCTCAGCCACATAGACGGTATAAGACGTCTGTTCAAACCGCGGCGGGTTGTCATTAACATCAGCCACATCCACCTGTATGGTCTTCTGGGAGGAAAGGGGAGGGTTTCCTCCATCTGTGGCACTCAGAGTGACATTGTAGGCATCAGTGGTCTCGCGGTCCAGGAAGGCTGAGGTAACCAGAGTGTAATAATTTCTGAAAGACTTGATCTTGAAAGGAAGGCCTGCTGGGATCTCTAGACTCACCTGCTTGTTAGCGCCAGAGTCTCGATCAGTAACGCTAATGAGGGCCACAACGGTGTCTGCACGGGCATCCTCCCTAACAGGGCTAGACAGAGATGACAGCACTATCTGAGGGACGTTGTCATTCACATCCACCACCTCTACCACTACCTTACAGTGTGCGGCCACGGCGCCAGGGCCCTTGTCCATTGCCTGGATGTACATCTCATAGGAGTTGGTCTCTTCATAGTCAACGTTGCTCCTCACTCTTATTTCTCCTGTATTAGTGTCCATGCTGAACATCTGCCTCACTCTCTCTGGAGTGTAGCTGCTGAAAGAGTAATAAACCTCTCCATTTGTGCCCTCATCCGGATCAGTTGCATTCAGTTTAATTACCAGGGTGTCTTTGGGCGAATTTTCCAACAGTTTCACCTTGTACACTGAGCTGTCGAACATGGGAACATTGTCATTTGAGTCCAGGACCCGGACATTGATTTTGGCCGTGCCTGTTTTCTCTGGCGTCCCACCATCCACAGCACTTAGAATTAATTGGTGGTAAGGCGTCTGCTCACGATCAAGGGGCTTTTTGAGCACAAGCTCGATGTGCTTTGTATTTAGGGAGGGTTTGTTGGATACCAGCGCGAAATGGTCGTTTGTGCTAAGTTGATATATACGAACTGAATTGGACCCAATGTCTGGATCTTGAGCGTTTTCAATTGGGTAACGAGACCCTGGCAAAGCAGCTTCTGTGATTTCCAGTTGATACTCGTCTCTAGGGAACTGCGGCGCATTATCATTGGCATCCACAATCTCCACATTGACATGGTGCACCTCAGTGGGGTTTTCGACCAGCACATCCAGATTAATCATGCAGGTGCTGGATAAATCACACAGTGCCTCCCTGTCGATCCTTTCATTGACAAGCAATTTCCCATTTTTGGGGTTGACAATCACATAGCGCTTAGTGCTGCCGGACGTTACCTTAATTTTTCGAGTGGCGAGCTTTCGAATATCCAGCCCCAAGTCATGCGCCAGATCGCCGACCAGTGCCCCATTTTCTAGTTCTTCCGTAATAGAATATTGTAACTGTCCAAATGAAAGGCCACAAAATAAGGAAAATATCACAAAATAAAAAGGCACATTATTCCCTATCCAGTTGCATATCCCCGCCACAGCCATTGCAAGCTCATAGGATCCGCAGACGGATTAAACGCAGCCTTCCGCCTTTTTAGCTTGCAGTATCTTGCATCCCAGCACCTCATTAAGGTGGGCTAATTGGTCTCCCGGTAAATGAAACAGAAGCGGCTCATCCATTGTGTTACCCGGCTGAGGTGAATCCTCTCCAGCGCACCCATATTTCCTTTGTCCGTGATGCGCTTTTTTGTCTCCAGTGCGCGATGCTGACGGGTGTGTTTCCCTGCCGCTGGAGCTGTGAGATTCGTCAAGGTTGTCGAAATGCGTCACCCCTAAACGGAAAAGAAGTGTCTCTCCTTCAAAATAAAATTATTTAAAGCGTCTCTTTTTTTCTCCACCAAATTCAGCTATCTCTTCTAGAAAGAAGAAAATGAGAAGCGCATAAAGAAAGCCCAAAATTGGAAAGGGCCATTGAGTGTTTTAATTAGGCTTAAGTGTTGAAATAAAGGGCTGGGAGGATTTTCATCAACTCCTAAATAAAAATTTCTTCAAGTGTTTGACTGTTTTGCCATCATGCATAATGAACAAACGCTAACGCTGCATTTGTTTAGTTTGTAGGCAATTACAATGAACGATGTACCAGGGATACCTGAGTGTTTGTGTTTTAATGAAAATTCAGCAGCGCAGCATGCACTTTCATTATTGTATAGGGATTTTACTTTGACAACGGTAACCGGAAGTTATGTAAGTTATTGTAGTTGTCTTCACCTTGGAGGGACAGTATCCCACCCTAGCGCGTACTCCAGCTCTCTCCTCTCCGCTGTGGCGCAGCTCCCCTCCTCCCTACCCACCCATTTCTCTCCTCTCATCCCACCATTGCGATGTCGGGGTAGGGTCTGGGAGCTAATAGACGGCACCTCCAGAATTAAGGATGGCAGACCACAACCCCCCCCCCAGCCATATGAAGATGTATGTCTTCAGCAACACCAGTCTTTCATTCCCTGAATCAGAATTGCTGTGCAACACATGACTGAAAAATACACGGTGGAACTACTGAAGTGGAAAATATTACACGAAGATGGCTAAAACATTCAATTTACCGGTGTTAAATTTTTCAGGACTCACTGTTGCTTATAAATGCAAGGTCAAGGATGATCAGCAGAACATTCAACATCACCACCTCCCCCAAAATGGAAGATATAGACACATGGTTGGGGACTGGCTTATGTTTGTCTTCCTTTGTCTGTACTGAAGTCGCAAGGATGGTTAATTTGCCAGTAGCGATTCTGTGGCGCAACCTACCGCATGGCGAGCATTTGGGCAAGACGCAGCACAGAGGAAGCATCGCACTGACAATCACAACCTTCCCTCCACAGGGATCACTGTCAGTGGTAGACCTCAGACTGTCAGGTCACATAATCGTATTTAAGATGCCTGTGGTGGACCCCATAAAGCAGAGGTCTCATTTCATCTCTATAGAAAAGCCTATATCCCGAAAAGAAACATGATTCATATGAGCACGGAAAAAAGAAGGCTGATAGTGTAATGAATATTGCCTAATATAAAATAAATACATTTTGAGGATGTATTAATCAGCATGCACATGATGCAGGAGTAGGCTATTTGTCTTTGTAGGGAAGATCCAGCATACAATTAGAAGTGTTTTCTATTTTTAGGGCTCATTATATTTGCAAGAAATGCAAGAATTTCCCTTTTTCACTAATTGTGCAAACTGAATTTCTAGGAATTAGCTTTCCAGCTCTGCTGTTGGTAGTTCAAACTTAAGTAAAACACATGATTAAATATGGGAGACAGAAGCAAATGTTTACATTGATGTTGCCCCAGAGTTTGCTTTGAAGATTGTGCTTGTCTATAGATGTACCTACATGTGGTATATGTGTTACATGGCAGCCTGACCAGGGTGTTCATTGTATCACACCCAAAGCATCCTTACATAGGTCCCAGTCTCTTAAGTGAACATGGATGGATGGATGTGTAGTATGGTTAGCTGGTCCACCTTCCAGATTCATGTAAATTCCCAGGATGTAAAAGACACTGCTCCTCATCCCTGGGCCTGAGGCATTATTAAGATACTTCTTCTTAATGAATTAGGGATCCACTATATGGTTTTGAATTGACTTGTTTTAATGTTGTAGGCCAGACCTATCCCCGATCTTCTCCCTGGGTTGTTTGTGACGGATGTCAAAGGCATTTGGGAGATGCTGCATTTTGGTAACACAGCTGCTTCAGTCACTAATTTCACAAAATGCTTCTTTCTGCAGAGGCGAGTGACTGCTCCTGCCCTGAGTGAGAGCTGATTGAATGCATTTGATAAAATATGTAAGATCATTTTTCACTTCCCATTTATTGGCTCTTGCCAGTGTGTAATTGTTTCTTTTGTTCTTTGCTCGATTGGGAACCTGATCTCTGTTATTCTTTCTGTGTATCATTGCTGTTTGTCGACCTAACCTACATCTCAATTAAAGCATTTTAGAGCAGAGCCTTGGACTGCATTTCCCACTGCTTTCATTAAAATGCAACACAATGGCATCTTGAAAACTCATTGCCAAGGTGGCAAACTTTAACAGCATCTTGTAGTAGCATTTTTACCACTTTCAAATTACACCATGATCTCACACAAACAAAAAAGGTGATAAAGAATAACAAGGCCAACTGAATGTTTCTTTGTTATACAATTTTGTATGAATTTTATGTTGGAAAAAATACCATCATAGGATGATGTACAAATTTGAAAAATGCATAAAGAAGCATGAATGCGTTGGAATTACCTGATTTATTTGTAGTCTTTCAGACTCCGTAAAATATGCCCAGGTTGCTACATAGTTTTGGAAAATATTGCTTTGTTATGTATGTTTATGTTTATCTCTAAAACAGGAATTGTTATGGGAGCATATTAAAGGAGCAAGTGAGTTATAAAAATGAGACTAAAGAGGGATTACTAGGTCAGTAACAACAGCTCTCTTGTGTAAAATTTTGGGGTAAAGCCTAAAGGTAACAACCATCATTAGCAGCCATTGCTTCATGTACCAAAATGGAAACCGGAAGGATACCATTGAATACGAAACACATATAGCTTTTAGTAGAGGAACAAGGAACAGTAGCTGTAAACTATGTCTTGGTATTAGCAACAAAACCACAAACATAAAGAATCAGTACCAGCATTTCACAGTGAGATGACGCTACATTATTTTTGGCTGAAGCTACAGGAGTCTGGGAAATCCGTCTAAAACAGACAAGCAAAGTCGGTCACAACATCTGGCAAGGTAAGGCTGTCCTGATAGCCTGGAGCAGAATAGATCACTGGGTGAATGCATCTAATGGAGGAGAGCCATATTGGCTCATTTTAATAATCTATGCCGGGTCAGCTTGACCACTAGATATAATAAATAATAATAAATAGAATAAAAATAATGAACATGCTTTTTATTATGTTTTCTAAACAACACATCTGTTAACAGATGCCAATTAAAAAAAGCAGAAGATATCTTTAATATAGATACCAGCAAAAGTATATCAAAGCATTTTCAGATAAAAATAAAAGAGAACAAAGGAACATTTGTTGATTATCAATCGTTCTGACATGCTGATGGGAACAGGAAAGCGTCATGTTAATGAAGGCAAAATTACATTAAAGCATATGTAAGTACATACTTTAGTATGGGGAAAAACAGCCATTAACCTCCTAGTATTTGAGCTTGACTACTGGAAATGACCTGTCACATACTTGACTGTCACAACAGATACTCAGAAATGATGCATTCTAAATGTTCACCTGCTTGGTTACAGGAACCATTTTGGATTTGTTGCATAAGACTCAGAGACCCTGAAAATTGTGTTTCCATAGCAACAGCAATTTGATGAAGTGCCAGATCTAAACTAAATTTGAGGTACTGTCCCCACACAAAACTATGCTTATTTTACATGCCAACATAATGAATAGTCAATGGAAGCCATGTTAGGCATACCAAAAAAAGAAAACACCACAGTACATTCTTTATTCAAATATGCATTTTATTAGTATGGGTAAATGTTTTTATAGGGCAACAGGATGGGGTTGTGATTGTAGAGGCAGCTGCATTGTCCTTGAGCAAGTCTGTGCATGTTTGTCCATTCATGTGGTACCAATTGTCTAAAAGATTCAAGTATACAAACATGATTCTGGCAGTATTAAAGATTACAAAACCTAAACCTTTCTATCAGTTTTTAGACAGACATTTTGCTCAAATATACAGTATTTATTTTTGCTGGATTCCAGCGTCCATGCAGTCATCTAAAACAGCCAACACAGAGTGGCCAGCTCAAATCAGTGCAGCAGTGACCCCATGGCAAGGGGCAGCCACACATAAAAACAAACCTGCCACAGGCGTCACTCAAGATGGAGCCCAAATCACACTGCACTTAACTCCATCATAGTACTCCATCAGCCTGGGCACAGCATCAGCATGCTTCAGTCACTGGTTCCCCTGTGAATGTGAAGCATGTTCTTTATTCATGTCTACACTTCTATATATAAATTTTACAATAATCAAGACATAAATTCTCTCTAATCTACAGCAGTGTTTGCCTCATCAAAACAAGATATTACTGATTTAATATATAGGCAACAAGACAGATGTTGTCTGTGCATAAAATCACAAACTTTGCAGATGCAATAATCTTTCCAGGGTGTGTCTCTAAATCACAGTGGGTTCTGAGGCAATACAAGTACTGTTTTTATCTTTTCACACAGCCCAGTCACAAAATAAAACAAATGACGCATCAGTCCTGCCTCTGACTTCTGCTGGAGCAGCACATTACTGGACACTTGACCAAGAGCTCTTCACTCTATCCTTCCAGCTATGTGTTAAGACTTATGGCCCCATTGTGCATGGGCTCCAGCCAAGGTATCATCTCTGCTGATCTGACTCACTCATACAAATGGGTCAAGCACCCATATTTTGTCCCACACTTTGACTGATATTGTTGCAACTGTAATTGCAACATGCTTTTAACAAACAAAACAATAATTGTTAGAAGTGAAGACTGATTAAGTAGCACAAACTACTTTTAACCAAAACATATCTGGGTACAGCTGGGAAAATAACTGTTGTTCTTTCATGTTTTTTTCTGTAACTGCAATATTTTTGACTGTACTTTGTGACTAAAATGACTTGAACATTTGCACACAGCTAAACTTGTGTGGTGGACAAAGTTACTCTGACATGGCCTAAGTATATCAGAGCTTTGGAATCTATTCCTAAATATCACATTGAAAATGACAGGTGTAATAATGGCAAAGGTTTGCACTGATAATGATAA